TATCTATCTAAAAATAACCTACTTTTATTGTACATTTCATGTTCATTTTATGCCTATTTTTGATGATATTGCACTTTAAAGGAAGACATTTTTGTTGTTTTTGGTTTCAGGTACATGAATAGGATATTTGGTGAAATTAAGGACAAAATGGAGCATAAAATGGATGTTTTTGTATGACGCCATAGCGCTACCCTTGGCGCCATATCACCAGTAGATGGGCTGAATGGGCGCTATAGCGCCATATAGTAACAAACTTTCTAGAATATCCATTGAATTTGGCCAAATTTTGAAGGGGTTCTTGAAGTGAACCTTGGTGATATTTTGTTATCTATTAATAGGGCCAAATTTTGGGTGAAAAGGGAGTTATTTTATTAAGTCATTTTGGGGTCATCTTGGTGAGTTCGGTTGGAGTCTAGTGTGTGTATGTGTGTGTGTGTGTGTGTGTGAGTGAGAGTCTTTATTTTGTGTAAGAGTTTGGAGATTGGCTTTAAGGAAACTTTAGGATTTTATTGGGGAGAAGACATAAAGATGAGTATATTGTATTTATGTTTAAGTTTTTGTTGTAAGATTTGGATTTCAATACAAATTATGTGTTTTTGTTTTATCTCCATGAATTATGAATAGTTCCCTTTCTTTTTCCTTACATATGGGGATTAATATTTTGGAATGATAATGATTTAAAGATCTCTTTTTATTTTTAAAATATTGTGATTGTATTTTCACATGTTCTTTATAGACTTTGCAAATTGGTCATTTGTGTCGTTAAAATTTGTTGAGAAACGTAATGACCCGGGAGGGCTATGATTTCACCAATTAGTGAGTAACGCATTTCATCTTAGGTAGAGCTGTTGCGATCACTTGAGGGGAGTGAAAATAAATAGGGAAATAAGTTTTGATGGGTGTAGAATTGATGTTTCTAGGGCATCATACTTGATTCTTTTATTAATTCAATATTGAGTTTTGATCGTAGCAGGTCCTATAAAGATGACACAGTAGGTAATATGGAAGTGAGAGGCCAAAATCTACTCAACACTACTACATAAGCTGGTGAAAAACTTCAGGTTAGCCAATGTTCTTTGCAAGCACCAAGAAGGTTTAGAGAATATGAATGCTCCTATTTGTCATAATACCATATTTGATTTTTAAACATTCTATTCACAAATTATTATGAACTCATCACAAGGGGAAAGATATTTTTGTTTTTTAAGATCTTTCCAAAATTTTACCAATCTCATTATATTTGGTTTTTATTTAATTTAGTTAATTAGAATTTTAGCATAAATTAGTGAATTTAAGAGAACCAAAATTTTCGAAAACTTCATACTAAGACCTGATAATAATAAACTAGAATTAGTCTAAAAGATTCCTTACATCACTTCTGTGTGGGATCAATACTAGGGTTTTTAAAGAAAGCCCTATAATACTTGAAACGATACGTATACTTGCATAGTACCATGACCAGAGGAAAATGTGTTGAGATTTTCATACCTATTTTTGTAATATTTTTGATGATATTGCACTTTAAAGAAATGTATTTTTGATGTTTTGTTGCATGAATGATGAATTAGGGTCATTTGAGCAAAAAAATGCAAAAAGGAGCTAATTTGGAGCGAAAAGGACCAAAATGTGCAAAATTGAACTAGGGCGTCGACAACGCCATCGACCCCGCCGACGGCGAGATTTTCCCGATACTCCAGAATTAATTCATTAAGAAGGTCCGCCGACGACGCCCTCGAGGCCGCT